GTTTTAGACCTTACCAGTTGTACCTTTCATTTGGTACCTTCGGGGGTCTATTTCTCCATTTGTTAGACTGAACCAGGCGTGTCGTTAGTTCGATACTTTCCTGGAGTCTATGACTCTTTTGCCTTAGTCAGCAGTCCTCACTGCTGAGGCATATGTTATTCCCTGATGCCTCTGCTTTCTTTAATAATCAAATTCAGTATTTTGATATTATTAGCAATTAAGGGAAACTTCTTCTTACCACATTACACTGATCAGTCTTGGTAGAAGGCTGCTTTTATTAAAGAAAATATAGGATTTTCTGGAAAGAACACTAATACACTGAAATCACTTAAACTACTGATTTATAAAGTTATTTGACTAAATGACACTAAATACTTATGAACTCACCAGCATTGTAAAAATGCTGATACTCGCTTTTCAAATAACTTGTATTCTCAGGTTAGCATTAGACAGGTACATCCCCGGAGCTGTTGATGAAGATAGCTTAGTACCACACTGTATTTATTCTATTACTTGTATTACTTTAAATTGTTGTAATGCAACCTTGTAAAACTATTACTATTAATGCAATGTTTTGTTGTACTTTGATTACTATAATGCATGTGTTGTGATACTTGACATGACGTCATCCACCCCAGAACGTTTCCGTCGTTCCGGTTTTGGGGTGTGACAATATTCTTGATCTAATTGAAGATATTTATCAATTAATAAAATATTTGTTTCCTTATGTGATAATTAATTAATTATTTTGATTAAATTGGTAAATTGTTTTGCAAGAAATCATTAAATAAATCAAATATGGATAACTATGTAATTAAATGTTAATTAAGATTATTTGTTATTTGATCATTGTTGTTATGAAAAGTTTCATATTTTCCCCTTTAGGTTTTATAGTTTAAATTTGAACCCAAAAGTTTTGTTGTTTTGAAATTTAAATAGTTGAAACCCTCATGTTTTGAAAAAGGTTTCAAAACTTGCCCTCAAGTTTTGGAATTTAAATTTTGATTAAAAGTTTAATTTTGATGTATATTTAAATTCTAAACCTAATGTTTTGAAATGTTTCAAAACTTGCCCTTAAGTTTTGGAATTTAAAAGTTGATTAAATGGTTTAATTAGGAATGTTAAATTCTAAAACCCTAGTAATGTTTTGAAAAGTTCAAATCACACCCTTGTGGTTTTATTAATTAATTAAGGTGTATAATTAAAAGAGGTTTAATAAATCCATAAAAGTTTAGGTTTACAATTTAATTGAATTAAAAGTATAATTGTTAAATTTGACCACCTAGTATTTTAAAAGTGTAAAATACACCCTGTACTATATATAAAATTAAAAGTCTAACATATATATATATATATATATATATATATATATATATATATATATATGAGTAAAAGTCAGTCTTACCGTTAGTAGGCCTCATTCACGAAGCTGGTCTATAAGGGGTGTTTAAGGAAATTGCCTATAATATGACGATTGAATGCGTATCCACTCTTACCTACCGCACTCTTGACTAGTGGAGGGTTGTTAGCCGAACGGGTAGGATAGGACAAAACCTTCCATTATAAGTATGATGAAGTACAAAAGTAACTAAATGTTTTTCAAATTCTCAATCTTAGTTACTTAGGCAAAGTGAATTGATGCAATTCCATGAAATTACACTTTGTGCCCTTGCGAAGACGTTAGTGGAGCGTGTGTGGTTTACCGGTACACTAAATGGTTCTAAGCAAAGGTAGCAAAGGGTGACTCAATATTTGTCATAGTTCGGTGGAGTGTGTGTGGTTTACCGGCACATCGAATAGGTGACTGTAACATGTGAGGGCACCATGTAAGTTTGCATGGTTATTCATACCCGCTTTGTGATCCTCGGCATCCCAGACACAAACAAGAGGGGCATATCGAGATTTAAACATGCCATTGAAATGTTCAATGAATCTCAAAGGATCTAGGAGTTTTCATAGGTTTAAAACTTAAATTTCTTTTTCGGTTTCATGGTGGAAATTAGTGAATCGTCATTCACTTACCTTCAAATATTCTGCAATTTGGGTTACGACATCCCTCTCCTGAGTTGTAGAATATTGTGTTGGGTCCTAGCCTTAGTATCTCATTTGGGTGATTTACTAAGGACTCAATCAATCAACTAACTTGAATTCATTTTCTCCCGTGTTGTAGATGTCAAAGTTCGACAACTATGGTCTTCCCAAATCCCGTGGAACAAGCATTCCACATGAAGATGGTATTCCAAGATTCAATCGAGGAACAAGAAATCATGCTTCACTTCCTCCACCTCCTCCAGTTGTTCTCCCTAACCCACAAGATCGAAGAATTGAAAAGTTCAATATCACTAAGGCCCTATTGGGAATGAAACATGAAGATGGTAAATTCATGTGTGCCCACATTCTAGGAATGAAATCACACATCGATAGGTTGATTATGTTGGGTGTGTCATTTCCCGATGAGTTGGCTATGAACTGGGTTCTACAGTCACTCACTGAATCATATAATGAGTTCAAAAGAAAGTATTATATGATGGATCATGACGATAACCTCATTGACCTAACTTACATGCTCATTGCTGCTGAATCAGAAATGATTTGGCGAAGCAATGGAGCGTATTTGTTGGGAGAGTCAACCGACCATACTTCCAAGGACGTTCTAAGAGAAGCGACCTGCGTTTGTTGCTAAGAGAAAGGGCGTTGGATACAAGTCTGCCCAAAGAGCCTGAAGAGTCCAGAAGATGGGAGAGTCAAAGTGTACGGCTGCGCTTCAGGTAAAATCCACTATCTAACTCCGTTAAATTCCTATTCATTGATTCTTAATACATGATGTGATAAGATTGCATTTGAATGTTTTGTAGGATCGATGAAAGGAGAGGAAGCTTGATGAAATAGAGCAAGATGAGTCTAATCACGAAGAAATGGATCTCGATCGCATAAATTTGAAGATTAGATTTTGAGCTTAGATAGTTATGATAGAGTTGTTAGAAATTTTCCTTTTGAAATACATAGTTTTCAATGGATTTTGCATTGTAAGGACAAATATTTTCCGCTGCTTTTATAAATAAAATAAATTTTCGTTTGACTTATTTATTTGTTTATTTCCTTGCAATGAAATCGTTATGAAAAGAGACTCAATTTTACCTTAACTATTTCCTACAATACAATGGATTTTGCATTGTAGGGTTTGAATAGATCCCCTCAAAAACGATTTTCTTGGAAGTTTAAGCTCAAAATCGAAATTCTTGGAAGAAAAAAATATGAAATGTTGATGGCTCAGAGCTTGGTTAGAATCGATTTAAGCTTCACAGTTGATTTTTTCCCCGAACGTCGTTCAACAACAATCAACAACGATTTCATCTTTTTATTTATTTATTTTTAATAGTCGAGTGGTTTAATGAACTCATAAATCCTAATAAATTTGAGCTTTGTGAGTTTGGACTATTATTTGTTTAGAACACCAAATTGGGCTATTTTATTTATTTATTTTTCAGTTTTTGGTTAATATTTATTGCACCATGTTATTTTTTTGGAACTATAAACTAGTAGTTGCACTTATCTTTTATAGTGGTTGCACCTTTATACAAAAAAAATTACAAAGAAAATACACTTGTGAGGTAAAATCGAGTTGTAGCCTGGACCTCCGAAACCACTCAAATCTGCCGCCAATATAAATTTGTATTATTGACAACAATCACATCTTTTTCTAAAAAGATTGATACCTAATATTCCTAATATAATTTACACAATGTTAATAGTTAAAATCTACATATTCTAATAAACGAAACTTAAAAATATAACTTGTTTATTTTTAGTATGTCTTTTTGACTCGTAATATTATTATATGGTTTCTTCTATTTATTTTGATAACAAGTCAAATTTCAATTCAATATTAACATTATAAAAGAATATCCTAATAATATTTTCAAAATATATGGTAAAGTATTATGTTTATTTTACTTAACAAATTATTTCAAAACTACTTACAATCGATAATACATTGACTTTTTTAATATTTAATATTATTTTTATCTATATAATAATTTTATCAACTGGGGTTTTTAAGTGTTATAACATAATATATATTAATTATAATTGGGATACGTTACATAATTAAAAAAGAAAAAAAAACTCGCACTAATCTTCCCCCAAAAGCAATGTTTTATTTGGCACGTAGTTAATGCATTATAAAAAAAAATCAACATAAATATATATATTAATTTTTACTCATAATAATACATTTCAAACTTTCAATCAATCACAATAATTAACTTGAAAAAGTAAAAACGGATATCACTATATTACATACACACATGACAAAACTAAAAAGCTTTGGATTTTTTTATAAATTTTTTATTTTTTATAAAAAAATTATTAAAAATAAATTTGAAAATATGATATCCATAGAATAATATGGTCATAAATTTAAGCAAAATGGGTCAACATTAGTTTCTTTTTTTGGTAATAAAATTGGGCATAGAGTGGATTGTGGTAAGGCCTTTGTCTAAAAATAGAAACTTCAATTCAAATGGATGTCTGAAAGTGAAAATAACCGTGACAGTAAATTACAAAACCACCCTTGCACACTTCGTGACCCAACGTTTTTCTCGATCTCACTAATGCTCTCACAACCATAGGATTCTCTGTTTCTCTCCACGTGGCACCATCTGGCAGTATGTCGGAGGGTTGTGTGGGTCACCTTGTTGCGTAGAACCGGTCTTATAGGGTGTGTGTGTGTGTAACCTGCTCTCGCCGGTAACCACTTGGAGCCTTTTACCGATCCATTCGGTAACAAGGGTCAATGAGTATAAACAGCTGGGGGGTTTAAGGCCATCGTTGGGTGGTTTTCAGAGGGTTTTTGTTTTTGTTTTTGTTCTGGTTCATGTTCATGTTCTTTCGATCGTTATATTTCAAGGATTTGTAGAGAGAGAGAGAGAGAGAGCGAAATTGAAAGAAGAGATTTAATTTGGAAGAAGAGATTGCGTTTCAAACAACATTATGTGGCGATGAGAAGACTGATCAAGAAAAGGGAAGAGGAAAAATTCTTCCTTTTTTCTAATGGGTTCTGTTTGATCGATGAAAAGTTTGTGAATTTGGGTTTTACGGTTTGAATTCTCGGGCAATTTTCCGATCTTCCAGAATTTGGTGTCCGGAATCTGAAGAAAATGTTTGGTGAATTCTTGGCAAAATCCCGGGGGTATTAAAGGTGTTTATTGAAACAGAACTTAAACTTTGATGAATTTCTCGACTTAAACTCAATCTTAATCGGTGAATGTGTTCTTATTATTCTCGATTTTTGATTCTGGTTGGTGCGATCTGACGTGTTATGTGTAGAATTTGTTTATTTTCGTTAGTAATTTCTGGTTATACGACGCGATCGATAAATTCTTCTTCTTTACTGATCATGGTGTTTGTTTCTTGATTGATTGATTTTTTTATTATTATTCCCTTTTTTATTATTTTGAGTTTAAGACGATTTTTCTGCAATTGTAAGTGTCATTTATGTGTTCGTATAAATGTCTCTATGCTTCTATCTTCTTCAGGGTTTTGTAAGGGTTTTGAATTTCCTTACGCCCTTTTCGTTTCTCCAATTTTCAACTTCAGTTTCTTTTTTAAACACTCCTCTTAGATTTTTAATTTCACGAATTGAGAAATATTGTGGGGTTTTAGAGCTTTTATGGATATGAAATGTCATTCTTACAGAAATATTGGTGTGTTTTAGTTTTACTAGTTTGATCCGTTCACTTATGTAGTTATTAATACATATATGATTGATTGTAAATATTTGAATCCTTTTAATATGTTAAAAAAGTGCTTTCGATCATTCTTTTCATCTGATCTTAGGGATCTTGAATTCATTCATTAGAATAGGTTATTGTTACCTTTTCGGTTTCAAGAATCTTTAAATCTATACATGGGCCATTATAAATCGTTACCTTTTTTGTATCCAAGATCATGAAAAACTTTCCTAATTTGGAGTAGATCAAAGTTAGGACCATTACATATATCATAGATAATCAGATTCTCTGAATTAAATCATGTCAATTTTAACCATTTCATACTTTTTCTTTGGCGTTCTTCATATCTCCTATGATCTACCTGATACATATTTCTCTCAACTTTCAGGCGTTTATTATCTTCAAAGATTAAAAAACAACAATCGCGTATGGCTTTTAAGTAGCTTCTTGATATGATCACTAAAATATGGTGTTGCAGAAGAGGTTAGAATATGGATTTAACGGCTATCAGGTGCCACCAACTCCCCGGGCCGCCAGATCAGCCACTGTAAACGCCTCTTTCAATTTTACCCTTTTAAATCTTTTGAATTTATTCCTTTTTTTATTTTTTATTTATTTTTTTTATTTTCTGAATCTTTTCAGCGAAGGGTTCCATCATGGAAGAAAACCGAGGAAAATAACACTAATAACAACAGCAAGCAAATGTGTGCATTCGATCTACTGGCGACAGTAGCCGGAAAGTTACTGCAGGAGGGTGGCGGCGGCGGTGGTGGTGGAGAGGAAGCTGAAACCGTTAAGACAGAAAAACAAATAGAAGATGAGTACCCTTCGAATGTTAATAATAATAATAATAATATTTGTGATCAAGGAAGCTGCAATAGCAGAAGCTTCTTTGTGTCTGAAATAATCTCACAAGCTCCCATAATGGACCCACAACCCGAATCCTATTCCGGACCTTCTTCAGGTATTACCGTTTCCGATTGCTCCGAGAAGATTCCGATTCCGGTTCCGGTTCCTGTTCTTTCCGTTGACAAAGTCAAACTCCCGTTTAGTTGTAAAGTAGACGATAAGAATAGTAAACCCATAACAAACGAGGCACCAAAACCTCATGTAGTTCATAATACAGATAACAATAACAACAATAATAATAATAATAATCGTGGTCATGTTCATGGTCATGGTCATGGTCATGATCATTTACCTTTGTGTCAAGATAATGTAAATTTAGTTGTTAGAGATGATGACGAAAACTCTTCCGGGGTGACTCGGGTTCCTAATAAATCCTTTAAGCAACCACCGCGTATTGGGGATCGAAGAATTAGGCGATTGTTGGCATCAAAATATTGGAAATCGGATCCCGAATTGAACGATGAAGTTCATTGTGATGTTGGTGAGTGATTTGTGATTTTAACTATTGTGGATTTCGTTTGTGTGGTTTTTCTATAATTAGAAATGTTGTGAATTTGTCGTTTTTTTTTTTCTAGATGAAGAAATGAAAGGTGGTTTCCGTAATAGGAAAAGTTGCTATAAACGACCACGATCGTTGAAGGATTATCCGTTTAAAAAGAGACGACTCTATGAATTCGAATACTTTTCAAACTCGGATGATGTTGTTAATAGCGAGGATCAATCGAGTCCTCCTCGAAAAGACTCGATTGAAAATGGTTCGGGTTTTGGTGTCAAATCCACCGGAGGTTTGTTCCTTCTTTTATTAAAAAGAACTTAATTATATGTGCCCTAAGGACAACAACAACAACAGTGTGAGAGTTTCAGTTCCAATGTGGATTGAGGAGCGTGTACCTAATTTACACCTCACATCACATCACATGGTGCTCCTACTAATCTACTGTGTGGTCCAGCTCAGGGGTTGTTGGAAGAATAACTTTTTTTTTGTTGCAGAAACTTGGTTGTTTTGTTTTTGTAACTTGTGAGAGTGTTGATGTGTAATAATAGGTACGAAGACATCGGGACTTGTATCGAAGCAAAATCCAGCTTTTCAGACACGGGATTCCCATGGTAATTGAGCGCGTTTCGATTGAGTTATCGATATCTACTCATCGAACGAGGTTCTTATATCAAAGATGTTTTTGCTTTTACTCAGTGAAGCTCAAGATCAAATCTTTTCGTGTCCCCGAGCTTTTCTTTGAGTTACCGAAAACCGCAACCGTTGGTTACCTAAAGGTACATATATATTATACATACCAAACTTATTACTTATGTTACAATAATTTGTGTATTTTACTCATGGTTGACCTACATTGACTTTTCTACAGAGGACCGTTATGGAGGCATTGACTTCGATACTTAGCGGTGAGCTACACGTGGGTGTGATGCTTCAAGGGAAAAAGATTCGAGATGATGACAAAACTTTGGTACAAACTGGCATACACAATAAGCTAGATGCATTAGGGTTTACATTGGAGCCTAACCATTTGCAAGCTCCATCATCTCTAAGCCCCGGAGGAGATCAATCTTTTGCACCAAATCCCATTACCCCTAAGCCGTTGATAAGGTACGGGAACTAAATCAACTAATTATTCATTGGTTGTACATCTTGCTTTACGAGTTGTACGTTTTTGTTAGGTATACACCCGGTCCAAATGTGGCTAATCAGATGGTGATTCAACCGGAGGAGAATCCTCCGGTTACAAATTTTGGAAACTTGATTGAAAGCGATCATGACTCGGCACCATCGCCTCCCAACATGTCTTTTGATAGCAAAAGTGGTTCGGGTTCGGGTTCAGATTCGCGGGCTTTGGTCAGTGTCCCGGCTATGAACCCGCGGGCACTGGCGGTGGTCCCCATGAGGAAATCTAAGCGGTCTGAGGTGGCACAACGGAGAATCCGTCGACCGTTTTCGGTTTCTGAGGTGGAAGCATTGGTTCAAGCCGTTGAAAAACTTGGAACCGGAAGGTTTATTTTTAAAATTTTTATTGTAATAAATGCAAACCATAAAAAATAAGATTTTGATTTCGTGTAAAATTTAACCGTTTTTTATTATTGTTTAGATGGCGTGACGTGAAGTTACGGGCCTTTGATAATGCAAAGCACCGCACGTATGTTGATTTGAAGGTACGTACGTCGTGACATGTTTCTTTTGTCCTATTACTATATTAGGCGCACATTATTGCATGTCATGTCAGATACAATATTACAGTACAACCTGTTCTGTTACATAATATTTGTGACATCTGTGTAACGTTCCGTTACACAGGACAAGTGGAAGACGCTGGTGCACACAGCGAGAATATCGCCACAGCAAAGAAGAGGCGAGCCGGTGCCTCAGGAGCTTCTGGACCGGGTGTTGGCTGCGCACGCGTATTGGTCGCATCACCAAGCCAAACAACAGTTCAAGCAAACACCACAATCGGAAACTTGTCGACTTCTTTGAATAAAATCCACATTTACATCTTATCATATTAAAAAAAAAAAAAAAATTAAAGATGCGGGTTTTTTTTTTTTTTTTTTTTCGTTCAGCCTCCCTTGATATCAGTAACTATCTATTGTTGTTATTAAATCTTTCATGTAAAAAGGTAACAAAAAGAGGGAGGAAGAATGGTAAATGTCGGGTGTAGTTTTTGTGTTTTTTTTTGTTTGTTAAGAAGCTCTCACGCATGCGTGGAGAGGGTTGGCGCGACGCTTGTAAATGGGTCGACCGAATAAGAGCTTGGTTAGTTAGATTCTTTATGAAAATGTCCATTCTTGTAAAGGGCATTTTATGTTTATTTTAGTTTTTTCTTTGTGTATTTTCCGGAAGTAATAGTAGGTTTATTTTGTTATGTTGTTGAATAAGATGACAAATTTATGGGAGTTTTGATGCATATGTGCATGTTTTGCATCTTAAGGATTTTTTTTTTTTTTTTTTCCAAATTATGAGTTTGTGAAAATTATTGGTATTCTTTCGTATTTGGTTCATGTGGTTTGCAAAAATTCATACTATTGGATTTTTGATATGACCGGTCCTTGTGGTTTTCCAGTTGTTGCATCGGTGGTACCCGAGGCACTTATCATCTATAATCCTCATATAAATGAATCTTAAATGACAAAGTTTGTTACTTTTTGTTTTTTTCTATTTTATTGAAAGTTTTTGATAATATAATGACAATTTCTGTAAAGAAAACCATCACATCACCCATCCATTATGAATCCACCGATCATTATTGTAACCACAATCCTATTACCAACACAATTAACATCACCATTATCACTAATTACAATCAGCCCCATCAAGTTTGAACTTTTATTTTCTTCTTTCAAACCCTTCTTTTCTTAGCACTGAGTTAGGGAATCTGAAAGGATTAAGCCCTTAATGAAGAAATGAGAGATCTACCAGTAACCACGACATGGCGAAAGTATGAACATGACATGGTGGAGTCCAGCTTTACGATGGTTTTGGTCTTGACATTACCACAACGTGGCCAAAAGGTCACCACGTGGTGGTGGTCGTGGACTTCGTTGAACGTTGACTTTTATTGACCGTTGACAATTGATTTTTGACCGGTTTGACTTTGGGCCAAACTTGGAGGATTTGGGTTATTTATTAAGGATTTATCTCTTTTGGCGTTAGTTGGTTTGCAAGATTGATCGGTGCAAGGGGTTAGAATGTTGTGTTTCTCCATTTCTTCAGTTAATGTGAGTTTCTCATTATGCCATATATCTCATTGATATCCTTTGCATGGTAGGATAGAGGTACTGTTAGAGTACAAGTATACTAGTTGACTAGGATAACCCTTTTTATGCATATACAGTATAGAACATTTGGTGTCTTGGTATACTAGACTGGTAAGGTCTTGCCTGTTGACCATATGATACTGTTATGAGTTATGTTTGGTTAGGGTAACTGGGGAATGCCAGTTATCAGGATTATGTATGATTGACCAACAACAGACTTAATTAAGAAGTGGTCAATGACATGGTAACTGATATGTGCATATTTAGTCATGTATTTTGTACATATTTCTAATAATTTTAGCTACAATTATGTTTATTTTGGGGCATAAAGTACTTATTATGTTTGAAATATGTTTTGTAGCAGCGAAGACATGCTCAGGATGAAAAAGAAGAAAACGAGGAGTTGGAAGTAGGAAAATGCGATCTTAGGCAAGCAGACACAAAAAGGGTGGTGTTGGACAGCTTGACCCTCGTTAGTATTTTCGCCATATCTCATGACTCGTAATTCTAATTGATGTGATTCAAAATGATATGAAAACTAGAATTTTTTTTGGACAACTTCTGTGTTTTAAGAAAAGTCTGATTCCCAGTAACCACAACGTGTTGACCACCACAACGACATGGTAAATGGAATATTCGCGATTCTTGACACTGACTTGGAGAATACGGGATATCTATGAAGACCACGACGTGGTGGTATCCAACCATGACATGGTGACCAAAATTTGGCAAGTATGTATATATATATATATATATATATATATATATATATATATATATATATATATAAATATATATATATATATATATATATATATATATATATATATATATTAGGTCGATTCCAAAGGTAGAGGCCTTAGAGCTGCGATTATTTACGAAGAAAAACCCTTCCAAGAACCCTTGGAAGGTGGAATTCGACTAGAGATCAAAGGATAAAGATATTGGAGCAAGGATTCTCATCTACACATTCAATTTGCTTAGTTTAATAATGTTTAGCTTGTTTACCTTTTGTTTATGTGTTTTTCAGCTGTAGTTATGGGCTAAAAACCCTTGTTTTTGTTTGGATTAGATGAACTCTTGATTACTATGTGTTGATTTTTTGTTTGAAGGATTGGTGAAGTTAGTTTTTGCTTTAAATATTGTTTGATAAATCTAAACCGAGTTTGTTAAAGTTTTTTTTATTGCCTTATCTCAAGTTTTGTGTAGTTAAACTGCAGTTATGTGACATTCCCAAATTCACGGCCAGAAAAGACCGATTTGTTTATGCTTTATTTTAAAAATCAGAGTATCATTTTAAAGAAAAGTGCTACGGAATGTGTCCCCAGAAAAACATGATAAATATATTATCAAAGCATTTCAGAAGAAATGGATTTTGTTCATATTAAAACTTTGGGATGTCATCGTCAATACTGAAACATAAGCATAAACAGACCTTACATTTATTTACACTAGTGATCTATCTCCTTTAAATCTCTCAGTGTAAAGTAGCTTCGTATCGATACATCTGATACAAATAAACTGAGTGGATCAGGTTGGGAAACCTGGTGAGCACATAAGGTTTTCAACTCACAATAATATAATTATTATGTTTAATCATCAAACAATCAACCCAATTACCCATCCCCATTATCTTCTTTATTTCTTAAGGACCTACCATAAGAATCATCTATCATCCACTTTTTCATTCCTAAGGATTCTCCTAAGGAATAGGCATGAAGTCCATCATTGTCTATAGCACAGCTGCCAATGTTATCTATTAGACACAACGGTTAATATTATCATTTAGGCACAATTGCCAGGATTATGACATTCTCTATTAGGCGTAGCTGCCGATATTATCCTTTAGGCGCAACTTCCAGGATATTTAGAGTACATCTGGTGAACACGTAGTTCAAAAATATCTGGTGAACACTTAGTTCAAAAATACATAATGAACACCTAGTTCAAAAACACCTAGTGAACACTTAGTTCAAAATACCTAATAAACACTTAGTTCAAAAACACCTAGTGAACACTTAGTTCAAAATACCTAATAAACACTTAGTTCAAAAATACCCAGTGAACACTTAGTTCAAAAATACCTAATGAACACTTAGTTCAAAAACACCTACAGGTTATGAGCCTACTATCGTTCCACTAGACTGTCTAGAATAGTCTTTGGTCATTATCTATACGCTGCTAGATGACTAGATCATCTTAAACATCGATACCTCTCATTAATTTTTATGTCATCACACATCATCTAATTCATCTATCCATGTTTTACCCAAAATATTTATATATATAAAATACATATACATTTTAAATCAATTAAAACATTTATAAAATTGTTCATCCAACATAGATAACAATTATACAGATAATATGCACACATAACATGTAATTTATATTAAATATTTTATATCTATGTGTAAGATAAAAGTAAGTATGCACTCACATTAGTAACATGATTGGATAGAATCTAACTAGAAACGGTCAGTCGTTCGTCGTTGTCAGGCTCAGGAAGGGAAACGACTTCAGCAAACGAGAGAGAGAGGGAGAGAGAGAGAGAGAGAGAGAGAGAGAGAGAAGAATTTGTTGTAAGGAAGCTTAGGGTCGAAATGGCTATTTATATACTGATTTTTGGCTTCTCATGCCATTTGCGTTTATAGCTCTGAAAGGTGTTCAGATGACTTCTCACATCGTAAGAATGATATGCTCACGTCGTGAGTTTCCAAGAGTCAACCCGTAGACTTCCCAGGTGTTTTCTAGGATTGATTAGTGTCCGTTTAACTCCTCACATCGTGAGAAAACATTCTCACATCGTGAGCCCAATCCGATTAGGGTTTTTGACACGTGTCATGCTCTCAGACAACTGCATCTTCGGAGGGTCATAACATTTGCATATGAATTCCATTTTTGATGTTCTTTATATCCACGTGTAGGTGGAGACGTACTATAAAACTTTCATTTAGACCCATAAGGCTAACAAGTAATTTATTGCAAACTCACTTTTTATGATTCCCGGTGTCGTGTCGGTTTTGTCGCGAAACTTCGACAGGTCATAACTTCTTCGTTATAACTCGGATTTCAACATTTTTTATATGTATGGGATCCTTGTAACATATACTAAAACTTATTTAAGATTATTTATTCTAAATAATCATCTATAAAAAAAAAGTCATTTTGACACTTATGGTCTCTAAATTGAGTAGCCAGAATCTGCGGGCGCTACAAGTTAACTGTATGGAATTGATTTACCTATTGTTTATGATAATTAAATTGCTAGAGATAGGATTGACAATATCCTAGTATAGGTGATAAGTTAGTTGCTTGAATGAGTTAGGGAGAAATATTTGATCATAATATTTTCTTGATTACTAGACTTGACCAAAGAATATTAGTCTGTAGATTCTATCATCCAGAGTCTAGATTACCTTTAAAATCAATTTAATGTCCTTAACTTGAATTGACTTATGCTATTTAGTCTGATCATGATGACTAGTAACTTTTATTTGGTAACTAATATAATTAATCTATTGTCTTGAAATCAACCGTAGGAAACAGGAGGGATTCAAAGCTAAACGAAAGTATCCTTTATTATTGATTTAAAATTGTATTTCTAGTTGTTTACTTTAGTAATTAGTTGAATATTTTTATTAAGTTAATATGAACTTGTAAAATCAGATAAAACCCCCAACTTTTAGTTGTTTTTCTTAATTTAGCTTTTAGTAGTTATTTTATTAATTAAATCCCGTCCCCTATGATCGACACCCGACTTACTTACTATTTTATAATCTGACTAGGTACACTATCTGTAA